TTTCTTCACAGTTGTCATACTTGCAATTATTCACTGTAAGAATTCCAACTGATCTATTTCCCCTTTGTGATCCCCTTCTTCCCGGCTTCATGTGCATAACAGAAGCCTCACTTACAAAACATAGGTACCAGATTTCCCCACAGATCAGGTTTTTCTGTCGCTTCCCCATGACTGAAGACAGAATGTAGCAGCAACATTGTTTTAATAAAGTGAAATCAATAAAGACTGGATCTGCAAGTAAAACTGTCTTTTGATGTCAAGTGTATCAGCAATAGTACAGAAGTTTTGGTCTGATTTAGATACAGAAATGTCCTCTGTGGGGGAAAAAAAATGAACTAAAAACGTTCTGCTTTATAAGTCAGTTTTACAACAGAGGTAATATATTTCTGACTCTTGTGACACATAATTGGTAACAGTAGTCCTGGAAGTAAGATGTCTGTCAAATATTAGAAAAGGGAGAAATAGTCTCCACTATCCACAGGTTCTTTTCTTTTAAATTTAGCAATAACTCCTTTAAAAGGATCAACATAGGTAACGTTAGTCTCACGCTTTCTGTCTTTTCCATGGTGCCTTGCATTCTGCTCCAGGCTGTTCTCTGTGCCATCAGTCAGTTCCAGATTCTCTGTTTGCACTGGGTCACAGGCCTTCATTACTAGCACTGGAGAGGGGTTCATTTACCAGCACTATTCCAGTGCCCTTGCCAGCTGATATGCACTTGGACTGCCAAGAACAAGTCTTGAACATCTCATTTAGGTGTTGTCAAGAACTTCTTTCTCTGCTATGTCTTGTTTGTTTCCTGTATCTGGCTCCTAGGCTGCTCCAGCTATCCCAGCCTTATTCCTGACCTTCCAGCAGTGTTATGCAGCTCCATAGATCCTATGGGGCACTAGGCATCTGTTCCCTGCTTCTTTCATCTTGCCTCTGTATCTCTGGAAGAATTTAAGATTGTTCATAGCTAATAATGTCCTACAGCAACTAACTGCCCATCCCTGTTTTCTGAATGACTTTGTTGGAAGAAATAGGGTGGGATTTCCTACCTCTTTCTGCCAAGATTCTGTTGCCAGTCAGAACTCAGGAGACAGGGTTAGACTGTTAGCACAACTGCTGTTTTGGTAAGTGGGAATTCCTGCTAACCATCTGTCCCTTCTCCTTTGTTTTAGCTACCATGTTTTGTGAGGTGAATATAATCTCAAAATAGTTTTGATAGATTTTCATTGTACATGCAATTCCCCTGAGGTCCTGTACCACTCCCTTTAAAAGGAGATAAACCGGCAGCATTGTATGTATATGCACAGAATATATGCTTATGTTGTAAGTGTACTCAGAGAACTGCAGTGGAACTGACTTATGCACAGGCACGGTGCTAAAAATAAATCACAGTGGAAAATATCAAAAGATTTTACTCAAAAGATTATCTACTTAGGGGTGAGTGCTCTGATACTCTGTCCGATCCCGGAGATGTCCTGATGTGAGGTTACCACATGCTAAAGAGAGTGTTAACGGTGTCCAAGCACTAGCTTCATAGGCTCTAGCTCTAAGTTTTATACACTCCAGCTTCACTGAATACTCACCAGGGGCTGAGTTAAAAAAAAAACCTGCCCCCTTTTTTTTAAATGCAGATTTCTAAACATTTTTATCACACATACTTGAGGTAAAATGTAATTGTGAGCTCTTATGCAATTATGGGCCTATAAATGTGAAATTTGTCTCTATTTTTCAGCTATTGAAATCAAGAAAGGTAGCAGTGCATTAAAGTATAAAGAGGCAAATGTCATCATATGGCAGGATTTTTTTTGATTGATCCCTCACTTATGCATTATTCACTGATTGAGGGTAAGCTGCAAAATTAAATGCCAAACTGGATTCAAGAATTCTACTTGCCAGGTATGTAGCACTGTCTCCAGATTCCACAAATATAATCTATGTCACTAGAGTAAGAGTTTCCACATTTACAGAGCATATAGGTCATGCTTGTAGATCCACACAAAGTATCTACAGGCAAGGCTGTAGGGATCTAAAATCCCATTTGTTTATTATCTTATTGTAAGTAAGATCGGCAGAGTTTGCAGAAACCGGTTTGCACTGGTAACGTTTTCAGAATGGCTGTTTCTCTGGGACTGTGGATGGGATATGGGCCGAGATGTTTTGTAGAATGGGTACTTGAGAGAGAAGTAGTGAGTAGAATAAAGATTGACAAGTAAGGCTTGGAACATAGAATAGTAAATGAACGGGAAAAATAAAGGGAAAGCAAATGGGAAAGGATAGGGTTTAGTAAAATCAGTAAAGATCAGGAGATAGAAAATAAGTTGTTTATGGACATAAATAAAGTTTGTTACAGCAAAAGGAGAGAGCAGCAAGCAGAGTACACAGCATTTAGCTTTGTAGCAAAGGACGACTCCTGTAGTTTGTGGGTCACAAGTGAGTCAAGGCATGCATGACCATCGGGATGGAAGCCGAGTCACAAGCAGGGATTCCTGTAGTTCTACCCTGCATGGAAACAGTTTTCCCGTGCCAGGAACCAAAGCAGTCCAAGGTAAGAGGAGACAGAGAATTTGCATCAGTATTCAAGCAGGCAAACAGGAGTACAGAGTTTACTCCTAAACGGTACTTCTGCCCTTGGCTTCTAGGAAACCTTTATCACACGGAAAAAGGTAGAAGACAGCTTATGCTCAACTCCATCACTTGTTCCCCAGGCACCTGTTTGTATTCACTGCATTTGACATCTATCAATACAGTATAGACTGCATGTTCCTAACAATGCAGACTAATCCCAGGCCAGTTCTATTGACCTTTAGTGTCATGAACTTCACTCTTGAGAAACAAGAAAAAAGTCTTCCAGAGAACATCTAAACAGCTATCAGAATTCTGCAATGAAGTTACTGTCAACATTGTTTTCTTAGAAACTCAAATGTGCAGGGTTATCCCATTTGCCAACGCATACTGTGCACTAACCATACACTCAGCTGCTATGCACACTAGTGTAGCATGGGCATTTTTAACGGTGTAGCTGCCGCAGCACAGAGCTCAGTACAGAGGGCAGGAGTCTCCTGATTAGCATATTAATGATATTCAGTATGCACTGGATATGTACATCTGAAGCTACCTGCCAACAGTTTGCTCTCTAAGCAGTTCAGTTTGAAGTTGACTGGGATTTACCTACAAGGGCTGTAAATCACACCTGTGCAGATATACTTAGGAAGATTTGGAGTAAAGTACACAAGCACAGCCATAGTACACAGGACTACTAGGTGCATAATGTATGTGCTGAACTAGTTTAATGACTGTGGGTCTTTACGGACCACTTAGTTGAAAACAAAGGTGCAAGCCGTAAATTAATCTGTAGAAATGCTGTGTCGTGGTTTAACCCGGCTGGCAACTCAGCACCACGCAGCCGCTCGCTCACTCCCCCCTCCCTCAGTGGGATGGGGGAGAGAATTGGAAAGAAAATAAAAGGTTAGAGCCGAGGGCTGAGATAAAGACAGTTTAATAAGAGAAAATAATAATAATAGTAATAATGAGAATGATAACAGAATATACAGAATATACAAAACGAATGAGGCACAACACAATTGCTCACCACCCGCCGACCGATGCCCAGCCCGTCCCGAGCCGCGAGCAGTCCCCGAGCCGCGAGCAGTCTCTCCGCAACCGCCCGACCGCCCGAACTAACCCCCCCCCCGAGCATGACGTTCTATGGTATGGAATAGCCCTTTGGTCAGTTTGGGTTAGCTGTGCTAGCTGTGCTGTACTCCCAGCTTGTTATGCACCTGGGTGAGCAGGAGAAGCTCAAAAAGTCCTTGAGTAGTCTGAGCACTACTTGGCAACAACTGAAAACATCAGTGTGTTATCAACATTCTTCTGGTACTAAATCCAAAACACAGCACTATGCTAGCTTCTATGAAGAAAATTAGCTCTATCCCAGCCGAAACCAGGACATGCTGTCTCTGAGAACTGAGAAATCTCGTTATGTAAAATTGCAGAACAGCCTTTCCAGGGCAAGAGCTACTGAACCTTGCAAAAAAAAAGAAAAAAAGGTGGAGCCCAAAGCTTACATAAAACTAACACAACCTCTTAGTTAACATGGACAGAAAATCTTTTATTTCTATTCAGCTGTCTCTTCCCTCTTTTTCGTATCATGCTCCAATGACAGATATGAGTTTGCAGAAGTCCATAAATCCTCCTGATTTTTCAGAGGTGTTAAATGTATAGTTACCACCCAAATCCTTTAACATTGTTCCCATGCTACAAAAGCTGAGAAATAATCTCTTTAGTGTTGAAAAAACTCGTGTATTGTGTTAGATACCAAACAAATGTCCCCAAACACGCAGGACTGAGTGACACGTGGCGTATCCACCTTGCAGGAAAAGATAAGATTTTTCTAGTGTTGTTCTTGTCAAAAAAGTATCCTTTTGTAAGAATAAAAATCCCTCAAATTTTACTTTGCAAGAGCACGTTTTTTAGGAGTATTGTTTTGGATTTTACTCTTTTGGCTATATTGTGTGTTCCTCACGTTGAGCTATTAATACCAAAATAAAGTAAACAGATATAATAAAGTAAAAGTGTAGTTCCCTTCCTGGTCTCCTCACTGTGTAGCATGAGGAAATCCTAACTTCATTGTGAAAGATGGTAGTGTTACAGCAGCAGGACGGATCTCCAGGTGCAATGGAAGACTGTTTTCCAAGCATTTTAAAGCACACGGTTGATGGCTGAGGTTTCGTGAGTAAGACTTATGAGGAGCACTAGGGAGCCAGTATGAAACCCATGGGGCCACCTCTGCAAGGCAGGCTGTCCCCTTCTTCCCATGCTCAGCTGGGCTGCCCTGCGCTCCCCTCAGCGGGGCGGCTTACGGGCAGGGCAGTTCCTCTGGCTGCCCACAGCTAGGTTGGCTCACAGCTCGAGTGTTGCTTTTCCTAATCGGTGTTTGCCTTGCGTAACAGTGATACTTAACAGATTATATAAGGCAATGCACAGAGGCGGTAAATATGTGACTAGCTTACAAAATGGCAACTGGAAAGGACACATCGCTGCTGCCCTTGATTCTTGCTGTCGGGATCACAGCACTTGTAGCTACCGGTAAGCTTCAGAAGGGTTTTTACCCATTGCCTTCTGTAAAGGAACAGAGCACATGTGCAGCTTGCTCACCTAGGGGAACCCCAGCTTTATTGGAGGAGCTGGGCACCCAACCTTGCTGCATAGAAATTAAGTCTGAATAGCAAATAGTTGTTAATTACTTTTTTGTGATCTGGTTTTAGTCATTTGTCTTATTTGGCTTTTTTTGCAAATTCAGGAATGAAATTCCTGTCCCAAAACCTTGTCTGCTGAGGCAGGGCAGACCACTGTACAGCATTTGTAATTTGGTATTGAGAACTTTCACACCGATCTTAAAATGAATCTTACCTAAATGTTAACAGTATTTGTATATGCCAGACTATTTTCAGGTATGTTAGAAGCTTTTTCTTTTGGCTGTGCATACTATCAAGGGTCCAGAATATATTTTGTGTATCCACAGATCTTTTCTTAAACAGGAAATGTATCCGTTGGACTTCTAACTAGAACAACCTGGATCAAAAAGGATTAAGATCTGTATGCAATTACTAATGTGTGTGGATAGTAAGACAACACATATGATATACCCGAGGGAGATTATATGTACAAACCAATCAGAATGAAGGCTGAAATAATGTCAGCTCTACTGATTAGAGTTTGTTGAAGCCTTATGTATGAAAATGAATTGTTTAAGCAAACAAAAGGTGTATATTTAAGTAGCTAAAGCTCTTAGAAATCTGGCAATTACTTACAGATAGACCAATTATGTGATTTTGTGCTCACATCCCCCAGGACAAAAAGTAGGGCAACCAGAAGTGGTGACCAAATATGGGAGAGTCCGAGGGTACCAATTCAAAGTAGACGCAGCTGAGAGGAGTGTAAATGTCTTCTTGGGACTTCCTTTTGCTAAGCCTCCAGTTGGACCACTGAGGTTTTCTGAACCCCAGCCACCTGAGCCATGGAAAGGTGTCAGAGATGCCACTTCCTACCCACCAATGTAAGACAATGGCAAAACCCAAACCCATTGATCTTTCAAATAATGTTATATTATATGCAATTCCAGGACACTGATGTACAGGGTAATCAAAAGCCACAAAGATAAATTCCTTGGTGCCATCTCGTTACCACCTGCAACTGTTACAATTAATGCATTTCTACAGACATCTTTATAAGCTGCTCTTTTTATTAAAAACTCTTATCTAATTGGCATCAGTGATGAACTAATATGGACCAGCACTTTGCCAATAAGGTTCTGTTTTGGGAGCATTTGGCCATTTCTTAGCAATGTTTATAAACTCTGTAGCTTTGGAGCAGAAACAGAAAGAAGCTGAGGAAATGTTGGAATAAAATATTAGAAGAAAAAAGCCGAATGACTCACATGCTTAATAGGACACATAAGAAATGCAGACCAATTCTAATCTATATTGTAAAAGTCTTACTCCATTTGTACTAATGCCCTTGTTTAGTGCATCAAGTCTAATACCTACCATTACAATATAAAAAGCTATTGAAGATGTAAAATAATTAATTTGCATTTTCACTGAGGTAATTTATAGACATATATATTTGTAAATATATTTCTGTAATATTTTGAAACATGCAAAATTATATCTGCATGTCACTCCAGACTGTGGCGCCTTTTTACAGATCTCCTTAATGCCAGGTCAAAGGAAGAAAATATATTAAAAGTGAAAAAAAAAATTATGTTTTCTGTTGCTAACAATCTAGAAATGTACTGGAGATTGATTTCTGGTTTGCACTTTATTGTGGAAGTATGAAGCTTTGAGGTATCTTTGAGGGTTTAGTTATTTCTGTCACTTGTTATTTTTTCATTTATTCAGGTGTCTACAGGATAAAGTACAAGGACAGGTCTTTTCAGACATTATTACTAATAGGAAAGAAAAAGTTCTTCTCCAAGTGTCTGAAGATTGCTTATACCTAAATGTGTACACACCCGTTTCTACAGAAGAACAGGAGAAGCTGCCTGTAAGCAAAATCATTATAAAACCTCTAGCAAAATTATTTTACAGCAAACCTACAACCTGTGCTATATGCAGACTCACAGGTGCAGTGCTGTAATGATGATCAAGTTACAAGCTTTGCCCCGGTAAATATTTGCTGAGATTTAAAAGATACACAAAATCTTATTTTGTAAATAAAATTTTATTGACATTTGAGCTAGGTAATGTTTTATTTCCTCTAAATAATCTGAAAAGTTATGGGCCACTGCTATAATGTAAGTATTTAATAAAATGAATGCCATTTTGTAAGATTGCAGGCCTCATATTCAAAAGACTTCTACCATTTGTGAAACATAATCTGCATCAGGAGTGAAACAGCACAAAATATTACATTTTGGTTTATATTTAGTTTTTATCACTGGGAGCTCTTATCTGTGCTGGGTTGTTTCTGGTTTTGTCTTTCCAGGTCTTTGTATGGATCCATGGAGGTGGATTAGTTTTTGGAGCAGCTTCATCATATGATGGTTCAGCATTAGCAGCCTTTGACAATGTGGTGGTTGTAACAATTCAGTACAGATTAGGTATCGTTGGATATTTTAGGTAAGATATTTTATCTAAGTTTTTGCTGAGTGATTTCCAAAATCACCTGTGCAAAGCCTTGTGAAGGGACATGCAGAATACTTGCTTATGCAAAAAAATTGTATGTTTCTTAATTACATATGCAACAGATGGGAACAATTTACAAGTCCCAGGTCAGCTTTGAAGTCTATTCTTGTTTGATTGCTACTCCAATCTCAAGACTTTCTCAGCCGTTTATTTTTCAGTTGTGTAGAGAAACTCTGTATAGAGAGTGGCAGGTGATTTCTTTTACCACAGATTGTATTTTTTCTCTGCCTTTTTTCTTGCATTGAGCATTTGAATAAATCTATTATTTCTCTGCAGCACTGGTGATAAGCACGCCCGAGGTAACTGGGGGTATTTGGATCAAGTAGCAGCTCTTCAGTGGATTCAGGAAAATATTATACATTTTGGAGGAGATCCAGGATCCGTCACTATTGCTGGAGAATCTGCAGGTGGAATCAGCGTTTCTGCTCTTGTAAGACCACAGTAATATTGAATTTTAATTACTTAGGGGGAAAAAAACCCACTGCCCACATTAATGTTTAGTACCTGCATGAAAGGTCAGTGAGACAAAAGAGATGGGTTTATAGTAAATGACATATCACAGCTTCTGATGGATAAAAATGTTCTTTTCATACCCAAATCTTGTAGTTCAGACCAAAAATGTTATTCCTCATCTACTAAATTAAATTCTAGGGTTTTTTTCTGCAGTGTCAAAACCCCCAAAAATTATCCTTATGAGAAAAGTCCTTAGAAGATGTATTGCCCATTTCCTCTTTGCTTTCACAGTCACTCGCACAAAGTAACCAAGGCAAATAGTCATGATAGCTGAACTAGACATGCATTTTGTGACCCAGTGATGATGTAAAATTTTTACATCAACACTGAGGACATTGGCTAAGAGGTTCTTCTTCTCCAGTCTCTCACGATTTGGTACAGATCACACAGTGAAACCAGGGTTCAATGATACATGTGATAAAAATTCCTCTTTCCTAAGCTCCTGCCCTCTGGCCAATAGTTCTTTATTCCCCTTCTACGGCACAGCCAGACTATCTTGGACACAGTTATATTCGATCCATATCTGGCTTGCAGTTCCATGAAGTCTTGGAAGCAAGATGCTAGGCAGGCGTGAACTGCTTATCCCTGATAGTGCTGCCAAAGCCCTTTGCATAGCTGAACTATGATCAGAGGCTACAGAATAACAGTCTAATGACATTTGTTTTCAAAATGTTTTAAATGGCAATTCCTGATACTGAAATTCTAAGTCAGTGTTCAGAACACAATGCTTGTCATGCTTGTAATACTTGTTCTTGCTTTTTTACAGGTCTTATCTCCCCTGGCAAAGGGCTTGTTCCATAAGGCCATTTCAGAGAGCGGTACTGCAGTCAGGGTTTTGTTCACTGACCAGCCTGAGGAGGAAGCACAAGTGGGTATTTTGTGGTAATTTTAATTATTTTTCCAGATAGCTTTGTGTATCTTAAACTGCTTATTCCAAAATGTAGAACCAGATATTTTTTTTCTTGTGAAACTACAATCAAAGTCATTTGCACACAGAAATACTGTCTTTAATAATACATGTTTAATGATGCTTTGCTTTTCAAATACCCAAATATCCACATACATCTGAGTGAAAGCAAAAGACTAAGGAAGCAAAGAGAGAAGGCAGGGGAGAAGTGTGAAATGTAAAGGAATACTATAACATGTACTGTCTTCAAGAAAAGGTGAGCTATAATTTTTGGCTGGAAAATGGCACCAGATTCCAGATTCGGAATACTACTCCCCTCCTGTTTGATGCCTATTGTGTGCAAATAAACAAGACTTTATTCAATTTGTTTTTACTTGAAAAGATCTGACTTCAACCCAATTTTTTTTTTCAACTACAAGAAACAACTTCCAGGAAACTAGATTTGATAATCTGGGATATAAAAGAGGCAACATTATAATAAGCTCTGTTTCTCTAATGACAGCTGTTACTCCACCCAGAAAGACGTCATCAAGAATGGTATTATGTGCTCGTTGTTACAATCTACACGGTCGCATTCTGTTGGTGCATCACACTAACTCCTTTATGTCATCCTGCCTTCTCAGCCCAGCATGTTATTTACCAAAATGAGTATCTTGGTCTATTTCTGTATCAAAATATTTTGGAGGAGTATGTTTTGTCCTTGTGCTCAGACCAAGTTTGAAGGGTTATGAGGGCTTCCTATTCTCTACCTCTGCAGCTGGAACATGTCTGGCTTCAATGATCCTTGTGCAGAAGTTTGGACTCCCCCCTGCTGGACTCTCAGGCTCAGTGGCTCATAGAGACTTCTATGGGAAGTATATGAAAAAGTGAGTGTTTGTTTTTATTGATTGCAGAGAATTGCTGCTGCCTCTGGCTGTGAAAAATCCAGTTCAGCTGCAATAGTTGAATGCCTAAGAGAAAAAACAGAAGAAGACATAGTACAGATAACACTAAAAATGGTAGGTGAAATTATACTTCTTGCACTTAAATGACATGTCAAATTTTATCATAACATAGTAGGCTGTTTGTGTGTTGTAATGGTAGGAAAACTTGAAGTGAATGTAACATATGACTTTCTTGCCCTTTTCAGGATTTGACAGCACTGAAGCTATGTTATACCTCACCTGAAAAATGTGAACAGGTTACTTCCCTTTCATTCTGCATGCACTTTGAGCTACTTGTGTTTTGCTGTCATGCTCTGCCAGGGGGAGGAAAAGAGTGTATGAAAGCGTGTATGAAATGTCACAGTTTCTTCTGGAGAACCTGAAAATTAATTAATATAATATATTATGTCCTACTTAAAGTTTCTTACTACAGTGCAGGCTTCCATGTTCCTTTGCAGTTTCGACACAGAAGTTTTTCCACTACTACTCCACACATCCATAATAGGATTGGACTAACTAAGAAGAGATGTAAATTGGACACCATCACCTAAGTTTCACAAACTTTAAAAATACAATGCTAATCTTCACAGAATCTTCTGCCTAATGCAGAACATCTCTCAGAGAAAATTTAGAGACAGCTTGAATACTGTTACTTCCTGTATTTTCACTTGGCACTTAATTTGTTTTGCTTTGGAAATACAGTAAAAATCTGAATTTTTTTTCTAGAAGCAAAATTAATGTATTAATGAAGCTTGCTTTTTTTTTTTTCCCCTCCAGTCTTCCCTGTTCATCAGTGCATCTGCAGATGGTGTATTTTTTCCGAAGAGTCCCAGGCAATTACTATCTGAAAAAATGATCAATGCAGTTCCATATATAATAGGAGTAAATAACTGTGAATTTGGATGGGTACTTCCTATGGTAAGAGACTTACAATGTCGTTATTTCTGTACCATTTTGTTAATATAGATTTTCTAATAAATATGATTCTCTGTGTCATGCAGACAATGAAATTTCCTGCTTACACAGATGGTCTGGATGAAGATGTTGCACGTCAAATTTTGCAGAGCTCCTTAGCATTATCACTGAAGGTAAGAGACCATTTTCAGAATAACCCAGTGCTGCTTCTTCACTGGTCTGGTTCTGTATTTCTACTCCTGGAGGGGCATATTTTGAGGCAAACTTTGTTCTGTTTGACAGCTTCCTACCATGGGGAGTAATTGGCAGCAGACATGGTGTATTCCTGTTGCCACTGGCAACTGAAAATACACTTTAAATTTCTATCCTAAATGCTCCTCTTCTTTAAAAGGAGTTCTGTGGAAATCCAGGAGTGATTCAGGTACCTAAACATACATCTCGTGTGACATTTTCGATACCCCAGATTATCCCAGACACCCATACTAGCAGGTATGGCACAAGACCTACAGAACACACTATTCTGAAGCAGTAGCTGGAGACTAGAAAGGATAACCTGAGATGTTTGAAATGGCACCGAGAGACCTATGTTTGGGTGTCTTGAGTTTTTGCTTCCTTGTAATTTACAAACCTCTTAGCCTTCTGGTTCCTTTGTGCTCTCCTGAAACTACTCAATGCAGAAAAATGCAGATTAATAGGTAAGAATTAAGGACTTTATAAACATGGCCAGTACTTGCAATGGATCATTCAGTGTCACAGTCACGCATCGTTAAGTTGGAAAGGCAGAGCCTGGGCTTGTTCTGAAAGGGAGTAAATTATAGCATATAGCCATCTACAACAGTAAATCAGTTTTATGAAATCCAACAGGATTTCTTTTCTCTAATGAGGGTTATTTCCACAGAAGGGAGAACAGAATATCATGTTCATTTATCAGCATCACTATCTGATGTTTAGATAAAGATGTGTGATCTTTAGATCTTGTAAACCTCTTTTCCCTGAGAACGTCTATATCCGGTAGCTGTGTAACTCCCAGTTCTGAGCTCTGAGCCACACCGTACCACAGCTGAGGATTTTATCTGAAAGAAGGTAGTGTTTGGATTTAGCCAGAGACGTGCGGATAGCACACTCAGTTAGTGCTGTTGCTCCTTATAATATCCATCACCATGATAAGAAATATTTTTGTTGTCCATTCCAGGGTGTTACTTCTGACGTTGTTGATCAAGTATACAATGAATACATAGGGAATGCAGAAAATCGTGCTCAGGTGCGAGATGGCCTTCTTGATGCAATAGGAGATCCTTTGTTTGTTCTTTCAGCCATTGAAGTGGCTAGATACCATAGAGGTGAGTCTCTAATTCAGCATCTATTAGAAGAAATGTAGAATTCCATCCTGGGGTGTGTTTATGGACAGTATGCATCGCACTTCATTATCCAAACAACAGGTAGTGCTTTAATCTTACCAAAATAGCTCGTGATGGAAGTTTATCATCTTTGGTGGCAGGTATTTTCAGCTCTCAAACTAACGCTCTTCTGTATATTTTCTACTAGATGCTGGCAACCCAGTCTACTTTTATGAATTTCAACATCGACCAAGTTCAGCGACAGGTGTTGTACCAGAGTTTGTAAAAGCAGACCACACAGACGAGATTGCCTTTGTCTTTGGAAAGCCATTCTTAGCCGGTGATGTATCCATGCTTACTAAAGTATCCCTTTTAAAACATCATTATTATCAATTTTACTTACTGGAGGGCTTTTAGGATAGACTTTCTCTCTTAGAAACATTGAAATTAACATAAGCATTTTCTGTCCTTAGTAGTAGTTACTTTTCATGAAATCATTCATCTGCAGTTCTCTCCTCAGGTGACCCTCCCATAGCTCAGAGTAACAAGTAGAACTGATTACAGTTTATTGGAATCGATATAGCTGCTACTTTTTTGATTATTTAGTTTTTAATGTTGCCATTTCATCTCTCACTTTGCAGGGCATGCTACAGAAGAAGAAAATAAACTCAGCAGAACTGTAATGAGATACTGGACTAACTTTGCTAGAAATGGGTGAGAATCATAACGCTAATTATAGCTCAACTTTCGTCTGTGCTGCCTGAAACATAATAGCAGTATTTCTATCATGGCTCCTACAAATTTGGCAGAATTTAAGATAAATATTGAAGCAAATTATTTCTATTCTTAATGATTGCAAGGAAAACCTTTTAAATGAACCTGCAGATGAAAAAAGAAGAAAAAAAAATTCCAAGATCTATTATTCCATCTGCAATGGAGTTTTAGATCCAAAAGTAATGGCAATTATTAAATGTTTGCTGTTCCACTGATGAGTATTTTGATAAAAAACATCCAACTATTCAGGTACTAGAATCACATAACCTGAGCTCATGTTAGTTTTCTGAAATGCTCTCAGCCTGAGCAGCCAGAGCACAATTGACAGGCAAATGGAAAGATGATAACTTTTCATTATATTATTTCCAGAAATCCCAACGGAGAAGGCTTGGTCCATTGGCCTCAGTATGATCTGGATGAAAGATACCTGGAAATAGACCTAATGCAAAAGGAAGCAAAGAAATTGAAAGAACGCAAAATGGAGTTTTGGACACGGCTCACACAACAAATGATGAATGAAAGGAGAGAACACACAGATTTATAAAAGTTGTGGAGGGTGTAGTTTGCTTTTAAAACCTGAAGTAAAGTCAAACAAAATTAGTTTGTCAGGATGCAGGGTTTAATAATCACCTTCTAACTCACTATTATGTAATCTGTTGTCATGATCACAGTGAAAGGAGAGAATCAAGGGAAAATTGGAACGTTTGTGGGGCTAAAAATCACCGTTTAATGAAGCAAGCAGAAAAAGCCCACAATCTCGCAGACTCAAAAAGACCACGGTATCTACCCAGTGGCTATCAAAACTGAATATTGCTCTTGTGAGAAGGGGGAATGAGGAAGAAATTGGCAAATATATTTAAACCTGTAAGAGATTATCTATACATAATATATCATAAGTGTCAGAATATGTTATATGCTTATTCCACTCTTCTTTCAGGAGAGAACGATCAGTTGTCATTCTTATAGCCTCTTTCCACTTTCTTTAATTGGAAATAGCTTGTAGGGAGCAGAGCATCCATCAGAAAACATCTATGAGATGGGCTTGACATCTCACAAATGAGGACAGAAAATCTCTACTTGTTTTCTTGTTTTGTAAACTGTTATAAATAAATGTTGCTTTTGATTTTTTTGGATCTTTATTTTACTTAACTGTTCTAGACTAAATCCAAGAGGTTAAATCACACCCAAGAAGCCAGAGATGTGCCCAGATTCTTTCTTCAACCTAAAGGGTTTCAGATATGAATTTTCTAGCTTTCTTTGCAGGATCTGAGTCTCAAGGCTCTGGGGTTTTCATAGACTGTTCTGTGATGTGATTATCTGTTCTTCAACCTTTCCTGGAAAAAAAATTCACCATTCACTGGCTGGAGGGACGAAGCATTGCTGGCAGGACAGACACCCACTGAGACAGAGGAAAGAGCAAAGTATGATGTTGTTCACTGCATGTTGTTAGCTCAACATTGTCCATGGGCCCACAAAGGGAGGACCTGCTGATGTGAAAAGTGTGCGCCCTTCCTCCTTTCAAGGACACCAGCAGCTGTGACCACATTTTTGGCATATCTGGAATGCGTCAGGGCACACAAGCAGTGGAACTTTTTGCAAAGTTACATGACAAACAAGGTAGGCTTGCCAGGCACAAAGGAACACACAACATAAGCAGCCAAGAATCTAGAAGAACTCTGCTCCTAACAATAAACAAACAGCAATAAATCAGCTTTAACTACCCTCTTACCTGGTGTGGACCTCACCCTCTCATCTCCCGCAGTGTCCCACAGTCTAATGGCGACTCTTCCCGGGAGGGGCTGGTCACAGTGGCACACTGGCAGCCCAAGTTCCTGCCTGCAAGTGTTGATTTCTTGAGGATGTCGTCTTCTTCCTCCTCACCTCTGGGTTTGCTTGGCCGTGCTTTGACACATCGGTGGACCTCGGGCAGTGTGATCGATACTGAGCCTCTGCCTGGCTATCCCCTTTTGTGCATTTTTTCCTGTAACTTGTTGTTACCATTACTTGCAAAAAGCCATCATTATGTAAGAGCTAATTGCAGCAACAGTGTTCAACCATACTGTTAGCTCCGTCACATATTTCTTAACCCAGCATATGGAGCACACTGGGCACTTTATTCCTTCCCCTGTTTTGATCTAAAGTAGCCTTTAAGTGCGTTATTGGTTGGTTTGTTGAATTAGTGTTTCTGTCCTTGAAGGTTCATGAAAATCATTATCTTAAACAAGATAGAAAAAATCCCATGTGTTTGTGAATGCAAAATCATAGGTGTAACTGCTGTGGAAAAGTGAGGCTCCTTATTTTATTAGACACATAGGATACCAAAGTAGTTTCTGACTCTGTGAGAAGCCTTCTGTCCATCTGTCTACTTAAAACCCCAAATATGGTATGCTTTCAAACAGTTGACAACGGAATAATACTAGGGCCACAACATATAGGTTACCTTTAAGCAGCAGATTCTGACATTATGCTCCAAACTGCATTTTATTTTATATCCTTAATATTAATGGTCACTTCGTATAGATAACCAGTTTAGCTCAAGGCAACATATATATTAAATACAAATGTATGCACCGTGCACCTATATTTGAAGAAATTCTTATCAGTATGTATAGTTGATAATACTCAGCAAGAACTGATGCTGCTGTTCTCTTTTTCACATTCTGCAATAGAACACAATCTTTTTAAAAAATGTATTAATTATACATAATTTCTATAATTGCCTTTCTAAGTTGGTGACCAAGGATGTTTGTTAAGTGCAATTCCTGCTTCTCAGGTCACCTCTCCTCTGGAAAAGGGTTTGTTCCATAGGGCTATCGCAGAGAGTGGAGTTGTAGATAGAGCCCGTCCTGAAAAACAAGCTGAAGTAAGTAATTTTAAAAGGTATATTGTTCCACATTTTAGTACTTTAATGGTACTCAATGTTATTACTGACCTTTTAATATTGTAGCTTTCCACATGGTGATGCTTCCTGTGAAAAAAAATCCATTTGCACACCCATTTACGATACTGCTTGGTTCAAACTTGCAAACACTCAGCATTGTGCATGCTGTTGTGGCTTATTTATGTCACAGCTTCTACATTAAATATGCCTCCAGTCTTCAGCTGTGATGGAAGTGGAAGGAACTGGAGTTCTGCAAAGCCACTTAGCATTCCCAGCACAGCACAGCTGGTGACTGTTCACTGTGACTCAGTTGCTGAAGAAAGTACTGCCCACGGAGAAGTAAGTAGCATAGTTAATGTAAAAAAATTGTCAGTCTTTTGTTACACTGATTGCAGAGAATTGCAACTACACTGGCTGGGAAAAACCTGAATCAGCTGCAGTGGTTCGGTGGTGAAGAGAAAAACCAGCAAAAGATAAACGTAACTCTAAAAATGGTAGCTAGTGCCGCACTTTGTTTAGTAAGACAGAATAAATCCTTCCCTAAGGCTAAGATAACCTGAAGCAAAACCTCTCTATGACACTTGGTTGGCTTTTGCAGGACTTCACAACAGTGCACTTGAACAATAATACCACACCTGAAGAATCTGAACAGGAACATTCCCTGCCCTCCTTGTGGTCTGTTCTCACACGTTTCAGGGTAGGAGTGCATTCATCACAGGAATGTAAACGGAATGGCTATGAACGACGCAGGCCCACAAATACCTGGTAGGAGAGTTAAAATTACAAACATGGAGCTGGCCAGCTTTGCACAGTTCTTGTTCTTGCAGCACTGACCTTTTGTTAGTAGCTGTTTTATCCCTTGTCATAACCAGTTTTTCAGTATTACTGTGCTGGCTTCTCAGTTCTTCTGCAGTCTTACCATGTAAGCTTGTTTTGACCCTGTTACTTGTCCAACCCTAAGAAGCTGGAGTTAGGAACTGGTTAACAAGTCACTCTCTGGCTTGAGCATTCAGTATTAATTCTTGGGTGGTGCTGAAATTATGTAAGAGAAACTCAGAACAAGGCCTGAAACTTAGTTACCTTTGACATTATATCTTATAACTAAAAATAGGTCACTTGCATGATTTCTTTAGATCAATGCTAAGAAAGCGGAATTATCTTTCCAAGCAAAACCAATATGTAAATAACAAAGGAGTACTTTTTTCTCCAGCATTCTCTCTTTATTAATGCAGTTGTGGACAGTATATTTTTCCCTAAAAACTCATCACTGCCACTAGCTGAAAAAAGGATCAGTGCAGTCCCGTACATGAGTAACAAACCATGAATTTGGATTTCTGCTTCCAACTGTAAGATGCATGTAATGCCTTTTATTTATACGTTGATTTATTAACTATTCAGGAGCACAGGAGTTCACAGAAAACATTCTTTTTACTCTGCAGGTGCTGAAATATCCTACTTTTGCATGAGGATTGGACAAAAATGTGGCATTCAAGCAGAGTCTTTCATAGTAAGAGGCAATTTTAATGTGCTAATTGACTGTTGTCTAGTGAGGGTTGGTACCTCAGATCTGCACTAGTCCTTGCTTTGTTTCCCGCCTCATGTCCTCGGATGCAGACACTGCAGCAGAATTCCCCTGGGTACGGTGATGTCCTTGAACTAAGTGCCAGATGGGGGGGGATTAGGCTGCAGTTCAGGCTCTGCAGAAGGTCCATCCCCCAGGGTCCCTGAGGCTGGTTCCCAAGCTCCAGGAGATGCTACACATATCTGAGGAGAACAACCTGCCCCAGAAGGGAACCAAGCCATGAGCTTGAGATAATTCTGTGAAAACTCACACTAAGATTATTCAAATCTTGTTTTTTTATGTGAGTGATTTCCACATATGGAAAACAGCAGGCATTGCTGACGGACAGTACCTGAGCAGGTATCAATGTGATTCCCCTTTGAGGTCCTGCGAACCTCTTGCTTCCAAGTGGAGCTTTAACAAGCGACACTGAAGCACCAGCTCTGAGTTTTGATTACTTGTCTGCTAGACAGTCCAATGTACTTTTATGAATTTCAGCACCAACCAAGTTCAACTACATGTTCAAACCCACATGTCGTAAAAGCGGATCACGCAAATGACGTTGGCTTCGTACTTGGAGAACCTTCTTGGCAGGTATCTGGGTTTGCTAAATATGACTTGTTTACTCATCGTTTGTACTTGAGCACTGTTACGGTAAAAACGTTTCTAGTAAACCAACCGTACTCTGGGCTGCATCAGGAGAAGTGTGGCCAGCAGGTCGAGGGAGGTGATTCTGCCCCTCTACTCTGCTCTGGTGAGACCTCACCTAGAGTACTGCATCCAGCTCTGGAGCCCTCAGCACAAGAAGGACATGGAAGTGTTGGAGCGGGTCCAGAGGAGGGCTACAAAAATTATCTGGGGGCTGGAGCACCTCTCCTATGAGGACAGGCTGAGAGAGTTGGGCTTGTTCAGCCTGGAGAGGAGAAGGCTGCGGGGAGACCTGATTGCGGCCTTTCAGTACCTAAAGGGGGCCTATAGGAAAGATGGGGAAAATCTTTTTAGTAGGGCCAGCTGTGACAGGACAAGGGGTAATGGTTTTAAACTAAACCAGGGTAGGTTTAGACTAGATATAAGGAAGAAATTCTTTACAATGAGGGTGGTGAAACACTGGAACAGGTTGCCCAGAGAGGTAGTAGAGGCCCCATCCCTGGAAGCATTCAAGACCAGGTTGGATGGGGCTCTGAGCAACCTGATCTAGTTAGCGGTGTCCCTGCTCACTGCAGGGGGG